TTTGAATCAAATTTAGTCAAAAGATGATCACAAATCAATTTCCAACCGAAAAGTTATGCTCCGATATTTTAGTCTCATATTGAGACCTATTTTTGGCATAGAAAGTGATCGAATTGGATAATGATGTCTGAATCAAAGTTGTATCCAGATGAGTTAGCTTTCCAACTCATTTTGAATCGCCTCAATCGGATATCGAAATACAAAGTTATGATAAAAACACTGAAGGAAGGTGCAGTTACCTGTTTAAAACAAAACATTCCGTTACATAGTCCATTATATTGAGACATATTTTTGGCATAGAAAGTGATCTAATTGGAGAATGATATCTGAATCAAAGTTGTAGCCAAATGGGTTAGTTTTCCAACGCATTTTAACTCGCCTCAATCGAATACCGAAATACAAAGTTATGATAAAAACACTGAAGGAAGGTGCAGCTGTCTGTTTAAAACAAGAAATTCCGTTACATAATCCGTTAAAACAATAAATTCTGTTAGTTTTTCCGTTAAACCAACAAATGCCGTTAAATAGACACTTTTTATATATAGAAAGATATATTTCATCTACTATTATTAAGAATATGTTTGGGAGCCATTCTTAACAAAGTTTTAGTTAAATTCTTATCGTTATACAGTAAAACTAGCCACCTATTTTAACCAAGCCAAGCAAAATTTTGATATTACTCCAACAGTCAGAATTTGATTAAAATAAGCAAAAATTGCTCCCAATTGAGCGCTAAAATTTACTAAAAAATTGATTTTAATTTTTGAGAAACGGAGATATAGAGTCCGGTTGGGTGGGTTTGCAGATTGCCAATAACACCACCTCAAATGCGCAGAGAGGCTAAAAAAGTAGAATAATGCTACATGTGCATTATGGTACACATAATGGTGTCCATAATATACATGTGGCGCCCCCTATTGGGGGAGTGCCTGTAGCATAACCCAAGAAAGTAAAGCCTTGAGAAAGATAATCATGTCCTTTCCTTAACCTTCACGCCTCCATACCATTACACCTCTCTCTAAAATTTTCACCTGTCGTAGAAACTCAGTTTTACTCTCTTTTCATATTGCTGTATCTTATGCATTGAAAACCTTCGGAACAGACGCAGAGTCTGTGTTTCTCACTTTCTTGCTCTCCACCCACACCCGCTAAATCTTCTTTAAATTCCCCTTTTCAGTCTGCAAAATGTGAGGGACTCAGATAGTAGAACCCTAAAGAGTTGAACTTTTTCTCTTTTCTTGAACTTTCTTTTCAGTTTTTCACTTTTCTTGACATGGGTTCTTGCAGAAAAGAAGGAAGAAACCCAGTAAACTGTCAGTGGATTCATGGACCTATAATAGTAGGCGCAGGGCCCTCTGGCCTTGCAGTTTCAGCCTGCCTTAAGCAAAATGGAATCCCTTTTCTCATTCTTGAAAGAAGCAACTGCGTTGCTTCTTTATGGCAAGAAAAAACCTACGATCGCCTCAAACTTCATCTCCCCACCCAGTTTTGTCAACTCCCATTCCTTTGTTTCCCCGAAGATTTCCCCAGATATCCCACAAAACAACAATTCATTTCATACATGGAATCTTATGCCACCCACTTTTCAATTCAGCCAAGATTCAAGCAAGCTGTGGAAAGAGCAGAATTAATTGATGGCTTTTGGATGGTTCAAACTCAAGATTTTGAATATTTATCACCGTGGCTGATCGTTGCAACGGGCGAAAATGCCGAGCC